TTTTCTATTTCTCCTCTCTTGCTCTTTATTACTAGCACACGATTCAGCCTAATCATGGATTCTAATTTTCTTTTCTTTAATTACTGTGACCCATAACCCAACTCGATTGTTTCTACAAGCTGACACAGTCAGGCCGTGCTTACTGAGAATATACTATATGCAGGCTTCAGTACAATGCATACAGGGGGATAAATATAGCCCCGTCTTCAAAAGTTCTTGAGGCAGAGAATTCAGTGACAATAATAGTAGTAATAATAATAACAGGAAACATTTTTTGAATGCTGACTTTATATTAGTCATGATCTAAGCACTTTATATGAATTAACTTATTTAATCATCACATGAACCTTACGAGGCGGTGCAAAATGTTGTAAGACTGACATCTTTTGTATGAAAGAGAAAGATGAAGAGCCTCTCTGTCATCTCAAGCAATACAACTCTGGCCTGACTTGCAAATCCAGCTTTAGCAAAATAAAGGTAGATAACTAAACTCAAAGACAGTTTAGGGATAATCCATTGTAACTGAACATGCCCTTTGGGGATCTGGCCACACACACACACACACACACACACAGATGCACATACAGAGGGCTTCTCCTTGTAAGAAGTTTTGATAAATATTTTTTTCTTTTGTAAATTGGACTTTTATAAATTGGCACCCTTCATAACTGCCCATCTTTCTCACTGTCTTTCTCACCATTAGTTTTGAGATACATGCTTTTTTAAATCCCTGTTTTACTGATGAGGAACCTGAGGCTTAGGCAAGTTGAGTAATGTGCTGTATTTGTTTTCTATTGCTGTGTAACAAATTACCACAAACTTAATAGTTTAAAACAACACGCATTTATTATCTCTCAGTTTCTGCGGGTCATGGGTATGGGCACAACTTAGTTGGGTAAGGGTCTTAATAATGCTGCAATCAAGGTGTCAGCTAAGCTGGATTCTTATCTGAAGCTCAAGTTTCTCTTCCAAGCTCAGCATGGTTGTTAGTGGAAGTTTATTTCTTGCATCTGTATAATGGATGTTCCATTTTCTTACTAGCTGTTGGCCGTAGATTGCCTTCTGCTCTAGAGGTCCTTGCCACATGACCCCCTTCAGCGGCCCGCCCACAACATGGCAATTTATTTCTTTAAGCCCAGAAGGAGAATCTCTAACCTTGCAGGGATGAGGGATAGGGGAACAGGATCAGACCCTCTACCTCATTAGGTCAGGCCCACCCAGAATAATCTCCCTTTTAATAACTGAGAGTCAACTGATTAGGAACCTTAGTTACATCTGACACATCCCGTTTGCCATATAATGTAATGTAATCATGGAATTGATACCCTGTCATATACACAGGTCCTGTTCACACTCAAAGGAATATGATAATACACAGTGTGTACACCAAGGGATGGGAATTTTGGGGACCATCTTAAAATTCTGCCTACCACACATGCACAGTCACCCAGCAGGTAACTGACAATGTTCTCTTTGAGCACAGCATGCATCAGAATCATTAAGCTGCACTACCTCTCAAAAACATGAAAAGTTAACTATCCCCAAAATATTTTAGAATTATTCTGAATACCTGAATTTGTGAATAATTTCATAATCAGTACCATTAAAGTATAGAGTACATCAGTACCTATAAATGCACATATGTAACTAATGTTAAGAAACAAAAATGAGAATATAAAATAATGCATATATGCTTTCTCTTATTATGCAGTAATACATGAATTAGAATATATAATGATATAAAATAGTTAATTTAAGTTTCTGGATCTTTTAAAAATTCAGCTGTCATTTTTAAAGTATAGCAATTTTATAATAAGATCATTTACCATGCATAGTAGCATATGATAAATGTTAAATATTTGTATTGACAGTAAGTACTGCAGAAGTTCAGAGTAGGAGAGGTTAATGTCGACAATAATTTCCCTTTAGGTGTAAAATAAGATTAATTTTTTATGATATAGTTTATTAGAAATTTTGCCTAGGACTAGGTCATTTTCTGTAGCGTGTCATCTGCTTGGTGTACAGGATTGGATGTCTTCTTTGAAGAGAACCAAGTCTTCTAAGATGTGATTCATTCTCACTTAAATCGAAATCCTTTAGCATTGCTTTAGAAACTCAATTAAAATCTTAGGAATCACTGTAACAGCCTTCTACCCTTGATCATAGAATAGGAAACATCATGTTGCTATGTATCTCTGTTAGTTGACACTTTGTACTTATCAATCCACCATTTTCAGCTATTACAAAGTAAATTGTTGGGATATTTTCCCCCTTCCACTAGGGATCCCAATATTCATTGATTCTATGTCTCTAGACTAGAAATTGTTTATAAATTAGCTTTTATTTAAAAGGAAGTTGCAGTAGACTGAATATGGCTCCTCAAATATGTCCATGTCCCAATTTCTCAAACCTGCGAATGTCACCTTATATGGCACAAGGGACTTTTTTTTTTTTTATAGTGATTATCTTCAAAATTT